GAGCCCGATGCGGGACTCGATCCCGGGACTCCAGGATCATGACCTGAGCCGAAGGCAGTCGCTTAACCAACTGAGCCACCCAGGCACCCCAGGCTTACTAAGTTTGAGGTGTATGTGGCTGAGTCTGCCAAAAGTGTTGAGGAAGCATTTGGGTAATAGGTTCTGGAACACATGAGAACAGTCTCGGTTTGAGACAGAGTTGGGAGTGTCATAAGTGTACAAGTGCTCATTAAAGTTGTAGGTGTCTTTACCAAATGTGTCCACGTGTAATTAGAAAGTGCCCCTGAGGTGAGCTGGCAGCACGTTGGGATCAGCATTTCATTTACGGTTGATGCTAATCAGAGAATTTCTTGGATCACGTTGATCCCAAGTTGTCTTAAAAGACGAAGGATACCACGGAGGCTTTCTCCATTCCATGTTTTTAGTTGTTGAGAGATGAACTGAGAAATACAGACAAGTTAGGTCCAGGCAGCTGAAAAGAGAGAGTGAGAAATGGAAATATATCCAAGAAGGAGAGTAGAACAAGGACACAAAGGGCTTTGTGCAGGAGGTGATACTTTATTTTTAGTTACAAAGGAACAACTGAGGGGAGTATTTTGAATATTGGAGTATTTTAGTTAAATTGATGTGTGAGAAATATAATGGGAACAACCTAGAAGCTCAAGCCAGAATCTCTGTGAGCCCGGTGGCCTCCTTCAGCAGAGGTCAAAAAGGATCCTGGAGCTTGAAAGTCCACTTCGGGGCAAGGATCACAGCGTGCTCTGTGCTGGGTGTGGGTCCTCTGTTGGGCTCCGTGCCTCCCGCGGCAGGAGGAAAGAGGGAATGAGACTGGAGAAGGAAAAGATTAGGAAGAGGAAAGTTTCTCCAAACTAAGGGCTATAAAAAACTTAATAAGGAAAAGTAGGCTGGACTTTTGAGGCCGTGTAGAGGGAACATGCTTTTTTCTTTCTTTCTTTTTTTTTTTTTTAAGATTTTATTTATTTGTCAGAGAGAGAGCGTGCATAAGCAGGGGGGAGCGGCAGGCAGAGAGAGAGGGAAAAGCAGACTCCCCGCTGAGCAGGGAGCCCGATGTCGGGCTCCATCCCAGTACCCTGGGATCTGACCTGAGCTGAAGGCCAACCCAGGCATCCCAGGGAACATGCTTTTATTTTACAGCTTGGTTGCAGAAGAGAGGATAATTTGAGGTTGATAATACCTGCAGTGAAGATCATTTTTGGCAAGGGAAGTAAAGAGAACTTCCTTTGGTTAGCAAATGACTTTTCTCATGATTTGGCATTCTCTAATGACTAGTTATCTGGATGTGATACTGTGTGATTTTAGGGATGGCAATTAATGGTTGACCTACTTTGCCTTGGGAATACAAATACCACATGTTCATTTGTACAATGAATGCCTTGTAGGTAAAAGCCCTGACACACACCCTTCTTGTCAAGAGTCATATCTGTACTTAAGTTTCTTATTACTGTAGAAATAGAATTATGTGTAATTTGGTAGTGAAATAATATTTGAATTATTTTTTACCAGGAAAAAGTTCAAAATGAAATGTAAAAATAGTAGATACAAATTTTGTTTCTATTTTTGAAAACATTCTTGTACAAATAGGTGTAATCTATGTATATTTACAAAATAAATACTTAACTATTTATATTTATTCAAAAAACATAAAAGGTCGTGTGCCAAAATGTTAACAGTGATTGTCTCTGGGAGGTGGGCTTATGAATGAATTTTCATTTTTTCCTCCTTTTGTTGTTTCTTATCCATATTTTCTGGTTTTTCATTTCAAAGAAAAAAGAAAAAGGTTTTCACCTTTTTTTCTGTAATGCAGAAATAGGACAAGGAAACAAGAGGTGCAATTGCTAGATCTGCCGTAGAGGATCCTATCTGCAGAGCAATAGACTATCCTTTAAACCGTTTGCTCTCCCCTTCCCTTTCAGAGGATTCCACAGATGTCGGTGAGGAGGACAGCTTTCTCGGTCAGACTTCTGCTCACACGTCTACCCCACAGACATTTAGTTACTTCTCTCAGGTATCAAGCGGTAGTGATCCTTTTGGGAATATTGGACAGTCACCATTAACAACTGTGGCAGCGTCAGCTGGACACTCGGCATTCTCCAAGTCCCCGGCTGACCTCCCTTTTACAACTGGATCCCAAGATGTGTTGAATGCATGTTCACCACCCATTTCGAAGACTCAGTATGGTGCTCCGCCTTCTTCACAGATGGGAATGAATACTTACCTGCCTTCTCACCCGAGTAGTCTCCCTCCTTCCAGCTTTGGGAGCCCACCCCAGGGAACACCGCAACAAGGCCACAATCCATATCGTCATACCCCTGTGAGCAGCAGGGCCAGTCCTTACATTGCACCACCACAGGTGCAACAGTGCCAAACGCCAGGCCCTCCCGCCCATCCTCCCCACCCTGGGCCCCCGGTTCAGTTGTACCAGACGCCTGGAGGACCTTTGCCACCGGTATGAGACATGTTTTTATATCCTAGCTATTCACTCTGACTTTTTATCTCTCTGTCATCTTAGCCTATGTTTTTAAAAACACTGCACTTTTAATAATCAATGTGATGGAAAAAAAACTAAAAAAAAAAAGATTAACATAACATAATAAAAAAAATAACTAAAAAAATATAATCACTGTGATGACAGATTATTTTCAGAGGCCCTTCGTTGTAAGCTACATGCCTTGAAGTAAACATTCTTTCAAAGGTAGCTCATCAAATGGTTCATATATTAGTTTATATTATCAGCTTATGGAAGTAGTACTTGATTTTTTTTTTTTTTTTAGTAGTACTTGATTTTAGTGAGTTAACTACATGTCAGTATTTCCAGATTTTAGTGTAAGATATCAATAATAAATGTCATCTGGAGATATGTGAGAGTTGAAGCAATTATTAACAGACTGCCAGCTTCTCATTTTTTAATTATCCTACTCAATCAAAATACTCAATTACAGGGACTAAAATTGATTACTCCAATAATTTCTTTTATTTACATTATGAAGTTTGGGTCTAGACAATCAAACTCTATCTCAGGAGGGTGATGGAACAACATTTGCATTGGGTAAAGTTTATGAAATTCCCTATGCTCTTTTCCCAGCTAATTGTTCAACTGACTTCCACAGGGAAATCAACTGAATCAAAAAAAGGGAAATGATTAAAAGGAAGAATTAAGAACCCCACCCAGTGTGGCAGGGATAGTGGTATTATAGTCAGGGTAGATCCTCACTTCTCTCTTGGGGATAGAGAATGGGCTCTGTTTTATTGTTTAATTTAAATCCTATCACCAAACTCTCGATAATGTTAGGTTTCAGCATATTGGAATGTAACCGGAATCACAGTGTGCAGTATAGTTAACATACTAGTTTGCTGATTAAATTTTTGAAAAGGTATCTAATTAAGAATTTTAAAAGTGGTAATTTCAGACTTAAAAGAAAGTTGCAGGGGTGCCTGGGTGGCTCAGGCAGTTAAGCGTCTGACTCTTGATCTCAGCTAAGGTCTTTATCTCTGTGTCAGGAGCTCGAGCCCTTCACTGGGCTCTGCACTGGGCATGGAGCCTGCTTAAAAAAGAGAAAGTTGCAAAAATAAAAATAGCACAAACAGCACCCCAGTACCCTTATCCCATATTTATCCGTCATTAACATCTTACCCTGTTCTGTCACTTGTGCATGTGTGCACTCACATGCATTTGGGCACCCTCTCTCTCCTCACCATGTATGTGTGCAGTTGTTTTGGGAAACACTTGGTCAGTTGAATACCTGATGACTCTTTACTCCTAAATATTTTCCTGCATATTTCCTTTATTTTATTTTTAAGATTTTATTTATATATTTGAGAGAGAGCAAGAGAGAGAGCCCAAGCCAGGTCGGGGGGAGAGGCAGAGGGAGAAGCAGACTCCCCGCTGAGCAGGGAGCCCAATGTGGGGCTTGATCCGAGGACCCTGAGATCATGACCTGAGCCGAAGGCAGCCGCTCAACTGACTGAGCCACCCAGGCACCCCTTGTGCATATTTCCTAAGAATAAGAAAGTTCTTTCACATAACCGCAGTACAGTTAACACCTTGGTAACTTTAACATTGATACATTCCAAAATGATTTTCAATTAAAAAATTTTAAAATAATTGTATTTTGATTTTAAAAGTATTTCTAGTACAGAAAATTTAAAATATGCAGAATAGTCAAATGATTAAAAATTGTCCCTCGTAACCGCCCTTTTCATTTTGTTATATGTCTTTGTTAAATTTTTTCTAGACAGACATTTCTGTGAATCTTTTTTAGATGTTAAGATTTTTTCTAAAACATTTTAATGGCTCTAGAGAATTCTAACATTTAGGTAACAATTTATTTAATCAGGTCTCAGTTAGACATTTAGATTGTGTCCAGTGATTTTCTATTATAAGTGACCTTTTGTACACATCTTTGTAGGTAAATTTTTGTTTCTTAATTACATCTTTAGGATGAGTTCTTAGAAATGGAATGGCCAGGTCAAGGGATGTGCAAGTTTTAAAGATTAACTAAATCATAGAAGACATACTGCTAGATTGATTTCTGTGAAGGTGCTAGTTTACTTTGCCATCAGTTTGAGAAAGCCCAGTTTACTTTTAAGACTGATGTTGAATTTTGTTAGATTTTTAAAAAATTTTAGTTGCTTTAAGGCCTAGTTATTAAACTAAACAGTTGTCTAGAAATACATGTAGGATAATCATTACTAATGTCACTTTGCGTCTGAGGCATATGTGGAATTGTTTTTTTGGACAGACATCATAGTCCTCTAACTTTTTTGTGTCCTCCAGATTCCTCCTTCAGTGCCATCAGGGTTGACCCCTCCAATGCAACAGCAGGCCCTTGCTAGACCTGCAGGTCCCTCTGTGCAAGTGCCACCTCCTTTTCTACTTCAAAACCAATACGAACCTGTTCAGCCCCACTGGTTTTACTGCAAGGAGGTAGAATACAAACAACTATGGATGCCTTTCAGTATGTTTGACTCTTTGAATCTTGAAGAAATCTATAATTCAGGTAAGTACTAATCATGCATCGTTTGTATCTGATTTTAGGAAGAGAAGAAATAAAGAGTATTTATCCATGGCTTACTTTTTGTGAATGTCAAATTCCTTAGGCCTTGTAGACTCCACCAGACTGCACCTTAAGACAGTGATACTAATGTAAGTCCTGAGTTATTTGAGCAAGGTTTTTAAAGAAATGTTTTAATAATTTTCTTCTTTGTTTAACGGTGTTTTAAGTTAGAGAAATAGAGTAGTTCATATAATGTGGGTGTCAATTTTTCTATTTCCCTTATTCATTTGTAGCTAATGGGCACTTATAAAATATCTTCTTTGGAACTCTTGTTCCCGAAGATGCTCTGAAAAGTGTTCTGTGGTCAGGTGAGTTTTGGAAGTGATTTAATCCCGTTCACCTTTTGAGATAGACAGTGCACTGTAGTGTCTTAAGCCTCTGAGAATTAGAGTATAGAGATATGTGTTTGTGTTTATCCTGATGGTATTTCTTTTCCTTTTCTTTTTTTTAAGATTTTATTTATTTGTCGGAGAGAGAGAGAGCGCGCTTGCGCATATACCAGGGGGAGTGGGAGGGAGAGGGAGAAGTAGGCTCCCCACTGAGCAAGGAGCCTGATGCGGGACTCATCCCAGGACCCTGGGATCCTGACTTGACCTGAAGGCAGATGCTTAACTGACTGCGCCACCCAGGCGTCCCTACCCTGATGATATTTCATCATGGCACTTAAAAATCACTTGTTCATACCCCCTAGAAATATACTTTATGGAGCATTGCTACTTTGATTAAAAAAAGTAACCATCAGTTATTTGAATTATGATTTTTTTAAATGGTCATTTTTTTTTTAAGATTTTATTTGAGAGAGAGCGAGAGAGGGAGCATGTGTGCACATGAGCAGGGGGAAGGGGCAGAGGGAGAGGGATAAGCAGACTCCCCGCTGAGCAAGGAGCCTGATGCGGTGCTCGGTCCTGGGACCCTGGGATCATGACCTGAGCCGAAGGCAGACGCTTAACTGACTGAGCCACCCAGGAGCCCCTTAAATGATCATGTTTTAAAACTTTGTTCTGGCTGTTTTTTCTTCACTTAAGGAGAGTCCTAATTTTGAGCAGCACAAATTAATCTTAAAATTCTATTTTTAAACAAAAATGAACTTAGTTCTTTGTCTTTTAGGATCATCCAGTCACCATATTCATTATTTATTACTTTTAAACATGCCTTGTTACTATTGGATTAAAATGTGGACTTTGTGCTCCAGTCCAGCCAGACCCTGAGAGCGTGGTTCTAGGCACGGATGGAGGGCGCTATGACGTGTATCTCTATGACCGAGTGAGGAAGGCTGTGTACTGGGAGGAGGAGCCCACTGAAGTGAGACGCTGTACTTGGTTTTATAAAGGGGACACAGACAGCAGATTTATTCCCTATACCGAGGAGTTCAGTGAAAAACTAGAGGTATGTGGGCTTTATTCCTTTACCTGTTTCTTTATTTTATTTTTTATTTATTTATTTTTTTTAAAGATTTTATTTATTTATTTGACAGAGAAAGACACAGCGAGAGAG